CTTCTATTCTTTCATATCTAAAGAGGACAGCAATCTCTGTTCTATCAGATCGTGCGGCTCGTGCTTTAAATGGTACTTGCTGCCAGCTTGCTTTCCCTGTCTCTCTCCCTTTGAAGCAGACTGGACAGCTTCCTCAAGCTGGCGTTATCACTCCCTCTAACCACTCTTGGCAGGCAATCTAATTCCCCCTGAAAAGGTCACCGCCATTTTAACTGCCTTTCAATCACATTAAGCACGCTGCCGCTCGTGCTCAGAGCACTGCGCCTGCAGCTCTCCTGACTGAGGTGCGATCGATAAACTGACATCCCGTCCCCCCACCCCATCCGCTTCTCGCCTTCTTCCCCTCTCCTGGACAAGCCCAGAATGGAGGGCAAGAAACCAAGTGACCAAATCCTCTCCTCAAATCCAAAGCAACAGAAGGGAGCCGCTAACCTGGCATTTACTAATCTTTGTCCCATCTGCTAAGAAACAGAAGGGTGCAAGCATCCCCCCCGCCTTCCCTAGACCTACAGAGGCAGCGACTTCACAGGACCGTTTGCTTAGGCACCGGTCCAGACACCTTTGAAGCTGTGTTACAAAGACCCAGCCTCCCTCAAGCTTCCCTCAATGCAATCATTACTGTTATCTCTCCCCCCCCCCCCCCTTTTTTCTGCAGTTACGAGTTATGTGTTCCACCCATCGATCCCTGTGTAAGACACTGTTTTAAGTCCTCTTGCCTTTTGACTGTGCTAAGCCGTTTAAGAGATGACAGCGGCTTCTATCAGTGCGAAGCTGATGTGATTCTTTTCAGATAAAGCACTTTTTTTTTCACTCCCCCCTCCCTTTCCCTTCTTTCAAGTAAGAGACATACACACAAAAAGAGACACTGAATCTTTCAAAGGGGAAAAAAAACCCTTTTGAACTTCCCTCAGGAATTCTTTAAAAGGATAACCTTACAGTGTAAACACTGAGGGTAACGTGCATCCATTCTGGAGAGGAACAGAAGAATTGCTACAAATATGTTGAGCATTAAAAGAAAACATCAGAGAGGAAGCCACTTGATGCTTTCACTTGCGAAGCCTTGCTGGCTTCCTAAACACAGAAACTCATTAGACAAAGATGGCATGAAATAATCCTCTGCAACAAAGAGCTTCAGAGAGGGATGACTCAGAGACATGGGGATAGATGGTTACTGAATGTTCAGGTTATTTCAAGAGAAATTTTAGTCTTGTGACACTGGACTGAGACAGGGAAATATTTCATTATTATAACTGTATAGCTTTTCACTTTGAAGCACAAGCTTGATTCAAGCAGCACCTGGTATTTCATGCTGGTAGCCTTCTGCACCTATCCTAAACAGAAGCAAGAACTCTCCTACTACAAACCCCTACTTCAAGCAGAACCTCTGCTGAAACAAAGTGGTTTCAAATCCTAGATAACTGCCAATAATCTTCATTTACACCCTGCATTCTTCCAGTTTTGGGTCAGCAGATTAAGTGATAGGAAATTATCTTGTAAGAAGCCAGGGGGACAGGTAGATGTACCAAGTATTTCCTGACTGAATGCCTCCATCAAACCCAACAGCTTAAGAAACAACATACGGATCCCTGCACTTCTCAGTTACGCCATGCTCCTGCTTGCTGCCATCTCCTGTCCTTTCCACCTGCTGCCTCAAGTATGCCAAACCGTGTGCTTTGGCTCTGCTTCCCTAGACCTGACTGAGGATTTGCAGCTCTAATACAAACAACAGAATTTCCACCTTGTAAGCCAGCCCCATAGGTGACAGGAGCAAGATTTCCCTGCGAGTGCTTTGGAAGCAAGAAAAAGCCATCCTAGGAACCACATAACTGAGAGTTTCAGCCTGTGATTGCTCCTAAGGATTAGACCACCTTCCAAAACATCTGAGCAGGGCTCTTCATTTCTCTGACCTTCCTGTTTTCAAGAAGAAAAAAAAAACCCAACCTTATCCCACATGAGAGCCTGGCAGGATCTTTCATATAATTAGCAAAGAGTTTGCCTCACTTTGAGAGCGATATGAACTTTGTACATTAATGAGAAGTGATAAAAAGAAGAAGCCAGGACCTGTGTTAAGTTTGAGTCACTTCTGCAATGCTGCCCAACGGTCTGGCCGATTCATGTGATACATGCTGGCCACCGCATCCTGCTCCCCCTTTGCCCAGCTGTGACATCTCCTCAAAGCAACACACCATTAAAACCAAAATTAATGAGACACACGGCCATCTATTTTCCCCTCCGGTTTTATGTATTTCCCCATGTCATCTCTTTAGACACCGGTGACATCGCTGCAGCCTGGCAAAGGCTGTCTGGCATTATAAAAGGCCTTCGATTTCCACATCGCTGCTACTTCACAGCAAAGGGAACAGAGCCAAATACAAAGCCCCGGGTGACAGGGGTTAACGAGGGCCTTGCCAACTCCAGACAAAGCAGTTTTAAGCATTGGAAAGCATCTCCAAAACGTTGTGCTGTGCTTCCGGGCTTTAAATTAAGAATTCTGTCCCTAAAACAAGGCAAGAGCCAACACTGGCAGAGAAAGGGACAGTCACCTTTAAGGTTACCTGAGAGTGCACAAAGCAGGCCTGACTGATGGAGACCTCTCAATGCCAGCAGCCAGAGACAATACAAAAACCACAAAAGGGAGCATAAAAACGTGTGACTTGCTTAAACAGAAACAAGAAGCAATCAGTGAACTACAGGAGATTCCAGCTTTGCTATGGCAAATATTACAGAAACTTCTTGCAGAGTAGGTAGGTACCTTGCAGATATTAACTGGTCATCCCAAAATACTAGGTAGAAAGTTGGTGGCACAAAGCTCCCCTGTTTAGGGAAGAGGACACCTCTCTAGAGGTCCTCTGCTGTTGAATCTGTCCTAGCTGTTGAACCCAGCTGCCAGCAGAGGTGTGCTCCAGAGGAGGAACGGCAGAGAGAACCGTATGTACTAGGGACCTGCTAGCCCCTCAGGTGGAGTCATCTCTTCAGCAGTGGCTCTGCTACCAAAAGCAGCACAAGGAGGATGTTCCTCACGACAAATGCTACCAGGAGGTTCCTGCGCTTGCAAGCTGATCTACAGACACCTTTCATCCAGCACCACAAAGGAAAAGTGTCTAATCCAAAAGCCTTCTCATCAGGGTAATTACAGAGGGTTTTTGAACCACATCTAGTTGTGCTCTACTCTTCTGCTAGTCTTCTGATACCCCACACTTCCTGATGGAAGCAGGGCTATTTCTAACTATGAAACACAGAAATACCTGTCCGTGCATGGTGCAGCCATCTAGCTTAGGTTACAGCCCTGACTGATGCTAGAACCTGTCTAACTTCTGGTGTAGGAAAGCAGCTGATCTATACAACACAAACTAACCCTTTTGAGAATTCCTTAAAATAAGGAAGAAAACGCAAAAAGGAGCAAGTACTTTGAATTTACACAGCCTAATCACATCAATTAGACATTTTAACCACCTGAAGCTTCATCTGAAAGAGCATCTCCATATAGCAGAAGCAATATGAAAGCTTCAGATCACACTTTTCACTTAACTCAAAACCATCTGGGAACATTAACTAGGTGAAGGCAGCACAATATCCATACCAAAGCAGGCAGAATATTGTGCTTTCAAACTCAGATGTTTATTGGGGGTGAAGGAAAAAGCCATGAATGAGAAAAAAGGGGCAGAAATTAACTAAGTAGCTTTATCTAATCAGGACTAGCAGTGACAACAATAGGGGCATGCAGACGTCCCATGCTTCACCATGGATTGTAGTGACTGTACTACCTAAGTGTCTAGGTAGGGTCATGGTCTAAGACCTTGCATGGTCTCATCAGGTTACGTACAGATGCAACTTTCCATGTGGGTACAAAAAACAGTTAAGGTAGATATGGCTACAGACACAGCGACAGCGTGAGCTTCACTGGGAAGCCTTTAAAACCCAAAGAAGCTGCTCCTGCACCTCTGTGCTCCTGATCATCTGCTCTGCTACAACCCAGCTACAATTTAATTTCAGAGGAAGGTAAGAGCAGATCAGGAGTGCCAGGCTGTCACTGAGCACACAGCTGGCTTTTAAGTCCAACTCCTTATGTAGTAGCCTTTCCCCTTGAGATATTTTAAATTAAAATCCAAGCTGATATAAGAAGAGATCACATCCCATCCTCTTTATTGAACCGAGGGAGCCAGCGTTCCTCCTCTCATTAGGCATGCGCTACGTGGATTGCTTGCAAGAGACTCTCCTTAGTGCCAGAGGTTCATGCCAATGAACAGTTTAGTAAATCCTCCTCTTCGAGGCCAAAGGGCTGAGTGTAAGAAAGGGGCCAGCTTTCTAGCTAAAATTACATTCACCAATAAAGCTCACGAGAGGTCAAATTTTGCCATAACTCACTCTCTCCACAGTAACTGATTTCCCCGTCACTGGGGAAGGAGCAGAAGAAGGAGGAAAAATAAAATGTGTTTGTCTGGGAGCCCTAAGGGCTTGCAGTGCTGCAGGTGCAGAGCAGGTTCCTGGATTCTCATTTATCAACCTTAAAAGGGATGGAGTGATAAATGCACAACTGGCCCTTTAATATTTTATGCAGGTGCTAAAGCGACTTAGCTGTCACCTTCAATACATCACCAGAGGCCGATACACCAGCTTTCGTCACTCCAGGCTGGGAATTTTTACAGTTTCATTTCTATTTCCCTCTCTTCATATATTTCCACCTATTTCTTACTACGTGTAACATGTAAGAAGCTATTTTCCCCAAACGATCTCCCCATTCTATCCATTCCTACTCATTCCCTCTTCAGACACATTTCTCAAGCAAGAAATAGCACCACGCTTTTTGTTCAACATTTGCACAAATTTTGACTCTCATCATTCAAGAGAGGCAGAAAGCTGGAATCACTTTACATTCTGGCAAAGGCTGAAGGTCCCACCCTTTGTGAAAGGCGAATCTCTAGCTCCCTCCCTTTAAAGACAGGCAATGATCAATTTCCACAGTAGAATAATTTACAAGGGCCCCCAAAACACTAGCGCACCTCGAAATCCTCCCTCCAGGAGAGTAGTAGCCCGTATCCTCTTCTGCCCACACCATTCATACTCTTCGAATCGGTTGCCGTTCTCGTTCTCAATGTCCACAGAGTCATCCTCAGTCATGCATGAACCTTCTCTCTGCAAAGGGTAAAGCAGAGGCATATTGTTGAGATGCAGGAAATAGCTCTTTGGGGTTAACAACTCATGGTGGAATGGAGAAGAAAAGCTGGACTGCTCCCAAGTACAGAGTGGACAGCAGACATCTACTCCCACTCCCATTCCCAATGATCTCAATCTAGAAGTAAATGGGTGCTGGAAGAACGCGACAACCTTAAGATTAAAACAAGTTGAGAGGTTCACGATATTTACACATGGAAGTTTAAGCTCTGGTTCCTATACCAATGCTGGTGTGCATTTCAACATGCATTCCCCTGCCTTTCATGCACAACAACCCTGCCATGTAAAGTACAAATTCCTTTGATCCCCAGCAGGAATGTTCTCCTATACCATAATTTTTGGGGCACACTGAGCAAAAGACCCCTCTCTTTACACCATGCACCTCTTGAGGCAACAAGCGTGAATAGGTTTTTATCTCTACTGTGGGCTTTTCCTGAGAAACAAGCACAGAAAGCCCTATGACAACTCTCTCCCTCCCCTAGGGCTCGTTCTTTCCTTTCAATCTTTGGGATGAACAGCAAGAGAATGGCTCTGTTCAAATGCACTTCCTGGAGTTAAGGTGGTCATGCAACATTTACAAATGCCAGTCTGTTACAAAAGAACCCAACAAAAAAAATAATTTTAATATTGTTAAAGGCAGAGATCAGAAAGAAATCTTCCTGCTGTGCTACACAGGAAGCATGAAGTCCTACAAAAGGCATCATAAACTTCAATAGCTCTACCTTCACAGCCTGCAACTCAAGACTTCAGTAACAGCGAAAGGGTGCATGAAGAAAGAAAGTTACTAATGCAACACAGGAGAAAAATCCAGAAAAATCCATCTTCCAAGACAAAGAGAAGTGACTACACAGGTCTTAGTGAGACAGTTAGTATTGCCTGCAAGCTCAGCAGTGTTAGTTTTTGCCCCGTGTTAGGTCAACTGCAGACAAAGCTGGGAGTAGGGAGAAGGGAATGGCAGCTGGCGATCCTGCTGCGCCTCTACCTTTGCAAGGCATTGTTCCACATGCCTACTCATCTCCTCCTCGGATCCTGACAGAGGTCGGCTGCAGAGGGGACATACCTGCCCTTCGTCTTGCTTCCTCCGTTTCATTTTTCCAATCCGAGCTGCATGGAGAAACCAGGAAAAGAAAACAAACAAAAAACAGGAAAGGAAGACATGTCAAGTTTGTAGTTCCACTCTGCTATTTGCTCAGCTCCAAATAAACCCTTAGCAGAAATGGTAAGATTTCACACCAGAAAACCCCTATTCTGACCTCTGTGAACAGTACAGTGTTACTTAGCACTTTCCAGATTAAATCTGTAACCCATGGCTGAGAACAGCCCAATTTCAGAAAGGCAGCTACTCATGATTTAATAACTAGGAGAGGAAATACCTGCTGCACATCCCAGGTAAGTTAGTCAAATGGTTAAATTCTTTCTCTTGGAAGCCTGAAATTGTCTTCAAAGTTGAGTGACCAAGCCACTGAATCCTGTTCTGGATTTTGCCTTCTAAGTCTTGAGCCCCATCCACTGACACATCTATTCCCTATGTAAGAACTTGCTTAGACTGCAGAAGGATGATGTAGCACCTGAAAAGCCCCGGAGAAGGTATTTAAGAGTCACTTCCAGGACCACCGAGTCTCCTGTACACCCTGAATAATTTCTTCCCAGAACACATTTCTTCCCAATCACAAGTCAGAGCAGCATCTCAGTAGCAGGTAACATTTACAGAGAGGAAAGATCTTTGCTGTGAAAAATGCAGCACCTATGCTCAATAGCTTCTGGCACTCTATTACTTTTATTTCACTATTTTCACACACAGGAAAACTGGGGGCTACACTGCCTTCTTGAGGGCATGCTCTGGGAAACTAACATGTCAGGAATCACAATGATTAGAAAAAGCAGCCAAGGTAGCCTGTTGCTTAATCCAATCTCTGGTTAATTTGAGGCATCGTTTAATGTGATCAAAACATCTGGAACCAAATCATTTGCATTAAAAAACTTCTGTCCTTTATTATGATGGCTTTAGGCAGGTATTACCGAATAACTCAATCACTGGCTGGAGGAAAGTCGCTGTTTAATTAATAAGGAAGGTCAAAATTCTGAATGAGAGACAAGGAAAAGCCCAAGGATAGCCCATGTGATAATGAGAGATGACACCACCAAAAAGCTGCGTTAGCCAGAAATCGTTACTGACATTGTGAGCACTGCAGCATGCTCTGAAAGCCTTCATGCCTGAATACTGAAGGATCAACAGCTCCCTGCAGCCAACAAGTCAGAGAAAGCTGCTGGAATGCCAGGAAGGGAAGGAACAGGGTACGTGAAAGTTTCTGTCAGTCACTGTTTTCTAAAGTACCTCAGTTTAGTGCATGCACATCACCAAGTGAATGATAAAGTTTCAGCTGAATACACTAACACAGACCTGAAAAGCCTCTTTTAAAGCTTTCTTTTTGCCTTCTCTGGACTCAGGACTCTATGGGTTAGGATATTCTTTCCCACAATCCAGAATGAGGAGTATTCAGCATCCCCTACACTCTCTGATGCTCCAGGATTAAGAAGGCTTCAAATTATTCCCTGGGCATTACTTTCCTTCACTGAACAAGACAGATTTGAGGAAAAATTCCCTGGAAAATAAAACTCCACTCCTGGCACCATGAAAAGGGCTCTGCAAAAGGGACATTCCTGAGATGCAACTCGAGATCAAAACGAGTGGTTTTGATACTTGGCACTTTGAACAAGAGACTCCCAAGTGAATGCACACCACTTTCATCGCTTGTCTAGATTTTCTTTGCTGAAGCTCCACAACCCTCCCTTTTATTGGGTACACCACACTGCCAGCTCCACAGCCCACCTGCCTCTCCCCACACATCAGGTACCTCAGCATTCCTACTGGGGTATTTTAGGTTTCCCTTCCAATTTTTCTGCTTGAATCTGTTATCTCTACTGTCAGCTCCTCCTTCAGAAAGTAAACCACACGACTTCCAGTCAATACAGAAGCAAACATCATGAAGTATTATTGCTAATTTCATTGTGCCCAGATGAATTATGTTCTGCTTTAAATAAAACAATGACCCCTCAACATTTCTTGTGTGTTTTCTCTCCCCTTCCTGCACCCTTTCAACATCATTTGGCCCTGTTCAGAAGTAGTCAAGAGTTAAGCCATGCTCTTTCTGGTTTGTACTTCAGTGCAGAAGGTTTCTCTCCAGTTCTGGTTTAGTGACTACATGTATCCTCCAGTACGGCTCTTCTGTGTAAGTTTAAGGATGCTCTTTCCTTGGCTCACTAACTCTACAGAGCCAGCACAAAATAGAAGGCTGGAATCAGGTATGACCTGAGTATTCTCCAGCACTCGTCTATCTGACCAGAGAAAAACATAGGAGCAAAGCCTCCTCTATGTTGATCACAGACACATCTTTCTCTTACCTCGTCTTGTTTTTAAACAGGGAAATGTAGGGAGGTAGCAGTTTAATTATTCTGGTAGGACTCCCCATGGCCAATCAATTCAGCTCAGTCAGCCTGTCTGGCAAGTTTATTGGTATTTTTAACTTTTTTACTGCTATCCTCTAGTCCATGTGCTCTAACAGTGACAAAAGGAAGATAACTTATTTTAGGTCTTGCACTGATAAATTCTTGGGACCATTTTGCCAGAACAAGCACCTGATCTGCTGTCAAAACATTGCAGAGCTGGGAACAGAACCTCACTCCACTCCAGCTCCATGCAAGACTCAGCAGACAGCCCCCATTCTTGGCTCACTTAGCTCTGCCAAGAAGCAGCCCTTTCAGTTCTAGTGCCACAAGTTAAAAAGGCCACTGGAAGAAAGAGGTGTTGGAAACAAATCCCCTGCCATTTTCATTCTGTGGTCAGCAGCAGCAGCATTGTGTCCATGGATGGTCAGGGTACCCCAGGTGACAGCAGAAACCAGGAGGGAATGCTGCAGCCTGGAAAGCACATCTGAAGCAGCGCTGTCCCTGCCCAACTCAACATGCAACCAGGCTATCACTTCCAATCAGTGCAGAAGGGACAGAGAGGCCCCAAAGGCAGGGGGTGATTGTGGTGCTGTCCCGAAGGGGAGCAGCTCAAAAGAACACGCAAGTGAGGCCACAGGATTGTTAATTAGTGTTGATAGATGCGATCATTTCTAATTAGCTCACTAATCCCTCTCCCTCTTGCTCCTGTCGCAGGAACACGGGGAAAAGGGGGAAAAAAAAGAGCCATTCCCTCTTGTAATGCAGGAGGATAAAAATGCAGCCAGTGGGGGACTGGATGCAAGAAGAGGACGGAGTTCAGGGAAGGAGGTCTTCGCACGAGGCTGACCCTCAGCCCCTCATTCTTATCTGTAACTGAACAAAGACTCCATAGTTATTATTCCAGCCTTCTGCCAGGAGGTGAGGAGTTCACTCATTTTTATTAGCATTAATAATTATTATTAGGCCATCAGAGGGCTTCCAGCACGTCTGAGGCCTCACTTTTAACAGACGTACATTACCCTACACACTGCTCCTGCTGCACTTGCATGTTCTCCCTCAGGTTACACTAAAGCATCGGGCACCCAGGGAGTTTAAGTCATTACAACACATGAATGAGAAAGCAGCACATGGAGGTGAGCAAGAATTAGGACCTTCTGCAGGGGCTGAGGCCTCAGTTGCAGTCTCTGACCTAACTCAGGAGCTGTGCTGGCTACAGGAGCTGCTCTTCCCTTTCCTAACATAGGGTCTTTTGGGACAGCACAAGGTGAGAAGCTGCTTTTGACACAAGAGGAAGAGTCAAACTGCACTTGACAGAGCCTCTGCTGCTGAGGGCACACTGGTCCCTGCCTTCCCATGGGTGCAGAGAGGAGCCAACCTTATGAGCAGAAGAGACCAAGGATCTTTTGTCACAACAGGCTCCCCACATCAAGGCTAAACCTAAAGATCATGTTATTCTCTAGCCCAGCAAAACTTCCCGAGAGAAAAGCTAATGGATGTTAGCTCTCACTAGTACTCCCCTCTCCTAGTAAAAATTCACCTTCAGGACATGGCATTAATTACCTCAGAAGTGCTCTTACACAGCATCTAGCAGTGGATACTATACAAACCTCTACCACAGCATCAAAGGAGATGATTAAGTTACTAGCAATATCTCTTATGATTCCCTCCACCAGTTTGAGTGGTCCCCCGAGTCCCATGCAGACATCATTAGCAGCTCCTGCAATGGCAGGCCAATCAAATTAAGTGGAAACATTTTTTGTCTCCTTTCCAGTGAAAACCATCTAGCTTTCTTCCACCCCACACCCATCAGCTACAACAGCACATGAAATGCTGGTGGTGGTCCAACAATGAAGTGCACCGTGGCCACCTCAATGGATGTCTGCCCAAAGGTAGGCTTATGGTCACCACCAAAACAAGAATCAGCTTCTCAGGTAGGTACAAAAGGAGCTTTGTAAGGCCTATTTTACAACTGCACTGAAAATGCCAACTTTGCAAATACCCCTAAATTTGCATTAAAGATATTCAAGCACAAGAGCTAGCACCTGCTCTCTACAAATCCACTAGAGGAGTCGTGAGGAGTGGTTACACCTATTTTTGTTAGGCCTATCACAAAAAACTCGTGTGGATGACCAACTTCTCCAAGAGCATGTGACCAAACGGAACGAAGGCAGCAATGGCAGAGCACAAAAAAATCTTAAGAACACGCTAGAGCAAAAAAACCCAGATGGTCAAGAATGAATGCGTTTCAGACCTCACGTACAATTTGGTGCTCATCTACCCAAGAGAGAATGTTAAGGGCAAAATTCACAGAAGGGTCTCAGTGGGACTTTCACATTTACATGGCCAAACTTCCCCACAGATGATTTTCTGCAGCCTTCTGACACTCTTCTCCAAGGTTGCCACATACTTAACCTGCTGAATCCATGTTCTGAAACACTAACCCATAACATTGTGCCTCTAATTTGGAATGACTACCCAACCTGCTCTGCACTGCTGAACTTCATAAGCATCAATTTACAGGGTGGCTTAAAGTTTCCAGTTTGGCAACACTGGAAATAAAGCAAGTGAAAGAATTGCCTTTTTTTCACATGGGTTCATAAGGAATCAACACCTCATACTCCAGGGTTCACAAGGACTCAACCTCTGCAGAGTGAGTTTAGCACAGGTGAGAGGTGTGGGTTTAACTCACTGAGGCTGACAGGGAAGTTCAGATAAAAACACTCAACCTAGAGTCTAACAGACAGAACATTAATCTCTTCCTCCAGAGCTTGCAAATGCATTCACCTTACTTACAGTTCAATTTAAGTCAAAGATTTGACTTACAGAATTAAAATTCTGGACTGTCAGGTACCTGTGAACCATGTAACCATCAGGACCTAATCATGTCACAGCCAGGCCAACAGGAGCCCACAGAAGGCAACTCTCTTTCTACCTTCTCTTTCCTGAGCTCTTGTTGCACTTTCCCAAGTGATTACAACAGGACTGAAGACATCAAGGAGATCTGACAGGGCTCAAGCAAAGCTGTGGGCAGCTGAGATTTGAGTCAAGGATGATGTGTGAGAAGAGCAAATATGCCCTTTTTTAGAGTTTTTTTTTTCCAATGTGATTCTGGAACTCAGCTGGGAGGAAGCCTGACAGAGATACCAAGATAAACATGTTACAACAACATTCAAAAGTACACTTAAAACTTAACCCAAATGAAGTAGATTTTTCTTTGATAGATAAGGCTGTATTTTCTACAACCTGAATTTCTTCAGTGCATCAATAAGAATATGAAACAAAAAGCCAGGTATCTTTGGACAAGTCCTTGTGCCAATGCAAACTAACCATTCTCACCAAGCAAGCTGCAAAGCTGCATGATTGATCAGAAGCTCATTAAACCACAAGACAGTATCAAATAAGCATTTTTTCTTTTCCCAGAGCATTCAAGTGTTCTCCATCTAGAGCAACACTGCTTAAATAACTGTTTAACAATCATGTGGCAAAGCTTACGAGTACCACAAAGTTATTTTAGTGCAAAAAAAAAAAAACCCAAAACACATGGAGGAGAAAACAAGAAAGCAGGCTGAGTTCAGTAGTCACAAATAGAAAGTCACAGGCATAGAAAGGAGCAGTATAACCATTTAGCTGGATGTCAGTCCAAGGGCATAGGATATCATTACAGGTATGTTTTGAGGACAGCAGTAACAGAATCATAAAAAGCTAAAGTCAGGAGGAACTAGTTCTGTTCTAGTTTGACCTTCTTTGTGACCCAAAGCCAAGCACTTCAGCTGGTATCCCTGCATCCAGCTCCGTAACGTCTGAGCCTAGTACTGTCAGGGTGTACAACAGAAAGGACAGGAATATCAGCATTATAAAGGCATTATATAAATCAAACAAATGCCCTCATTAGTTGTGCTCACTGTACCCCAAAAGGTATATATAAAAGGAGTAAAAGGTTCAGCAAAAGCAATGCAAACGCTGTTCAAAACCAGCATCCCTTTAGATTATGAGCTCAGATTCACAAAAACATCCAAGAACAGGGTCCAAGAGGAGTGACTGTGCTGAAGCCCTATTTTGGGCTATAGTGGAAAGCATAAAGTACTACTGAGCCAGTTCAGCAGAGCATGCTGTCATCAAGAGCTTTCATTCATTCTGAAGGACTGCACAACACCAAGAACCTCACAAGCCTGGCTCAGATGTGGGTTTTTTTTGGTTTTGGGTTTTTTTGGGGGGGTATTTCTTTAATTTGAAATAAGGTAACTTCACATTGTTGGCTTGAAAAAAAGGTGGAAGGTGGGAGATTAACCCGATCTATCCAAAAATGATAAAGAAACAGTTTGACATGGCTGACTCCAGAGACCTCTGTCACACAAAACAAGTCACTGCAGAGCAATACCTCAGTATACTGCAGCCATCTAAAGTCTCTGTGTCTGGAACAGGACCTGCCAATGCTGGCAGCTCACTGCACTCATCTGGGAGCACAGATGTGAGCACACCTACCAGCAGTTACCTGTAACTGAGGTAAAGCAACTCACCTCTTTGTTGTACGACTGAACAGGCTTCCAAGAGCTCACAGGTTTCTGGCCTTCTGGGCTTATATTTAAGAATCTGAACTCAGTTATGTATCATTTATCAAAGATCCTGGGTCATAATAACGCTCCTACTTGCTTCAGGCTATGCTAAACACATAGTACTTCAAATTCAAGCACCCTATTGTGCCACCAGCACACTCTAAAGCCTTTTGCTATTTTGTTAAAATATCTCTATCTTCTTCTGAGTAAACTGCAGCAGCACAATGTCACCGGTGTTAGCTTAAACTGGGACAGCAGGAAGCTGTGATAACAATTAATAAACCTCCTATTAGCCTGAATAATCACATTTTGACTAAATGGTACTTATCAGACCAGCTCCAAGCAACACAAAATCAGATGCCAGAGTACTGTTACCATTTAAAGTGTAATTCTAAGTTCTCTGAACTCTGGGAAAAGAGTTTCAACTTCTTCAGCTCAAACAACAACAAAACAGTATACTTTCTGCTTTTGTTTTCTGATTTACGAGCACAAAGATGGGACTTTCTCTGAAATAAAGCGACCTCTGATTTGTTCTTCAAATACAAAGACACATTTTGCTAGGAACACTTTGTAATTTGTTGCCAGGAACACCCAGAAATACAAGAGCAAAAGTAACGCACAAGCATCAGTGGGTTTGAGAGGGAAAAAAAAAGCCACAACCAAAACATGACGTCAGATGCACGGACGCTCAGACTGCTGGTTTAAAAGTTTACTGCAAGATTCTGCCATATGAGCTATGAAAACATGGAAAGCTGGTCTAGAAAAGACGGGATGCTGGGCCCACTTTATAGCCTCACCGGTGGGATCCCGGGGGCTGCCTCCCAGGAAGCCAGGATGAACGCGGAGGGTTTCCCCCTAACCCACCCTGTGCACCCTGTGCAGCAGCACGGCGAGGCCCCGGTGGGGCAGGCCGCAGCTCCCGGCCTTCGGAGGGGCTGGTTCACACCACTCGGCCCAGCTCTGTGAAGTTCTCCGGGCAGGGGCCGCCCTGCGGGGCGGGGGGAACGCGGGGCCGCACTCACCGTTCAGCCGGGTCTGCCGGTTCGCTCGCACCCGCAGGAAGGTCTGCAGAGGGGACACAAGAGCGGAAAACTGTCAGGGCCCGCGGGCGCCCAACGTAAACAACTCGACCCCCCCCCCCCCCCCCCGCCGGTAAACAACGCCTCCCCGGCGCCCCCCCGCCCGGCGCATCATCGGGACAACGCAACAGCCCCGGGCCTGCACTACCCCCCCTTCCTTGGCCCCCAGCACGCACCTCTTCCCGGCCCCCGCCGCCGGGCCCCCTCCTGCCGCTCTGCATAGCCGCGGGCGGGCGGTGGGCAGGGGCCCCGGGGCGGAGCCCCCCGCACGGCCCGGGATGCGGGCGGATACGGCGAGACCCGGCAGGCGCCGCCGATCAGCCCCCTGCGGCCGCCGCCATGTTAGCCCCGGTCATGTGACCCACAGCCGTGCGGGTGAAAGTTCATCAGGAAACCGGCTGGGGAGAAGCGCGAAAGGAGGGAGTTCCCATGGCAACCGACAGGCGGCAGCAGGGCCCAGCGAGCCCCAGCCAATCAGAGAGCCGGGGCTGCTGGAACACAGGAGGGTCTGGCCAATCGGAGATCAGGAATAACTGGACCCAAGAATACTAGGCCAATCAGAAATCGGGAACCAGTGGAACCCAAGGGCATGTGACCAATCAGGACAACGGGGCAACAGGAACCCGGGGCAGATGGCTAGTTGGAGCCCAGGCGCCCTGGAGGGAGGGAGGGAGCAAGGGAGCGAGCAAGGGAGCGAGCAAGGGAGCGAGCAAGGGAGCGAGCAAGGGAGCGAGCAAGGGAGCGAGCAAGGGAGCGAGCAAGGGAGCGAGCAAGGGAGCGAGCAAGGGAGCGAGCAAGGGAGCGAGCAAGGGAGCGAGGTGGAGTTGTCTGTTTGAGGAGGCATTGAGCACCCTTTAGGCCCAACAGCACTGGCAAATCAGGGTCTTGGGCCTGAATGTAACCCAAAGGTGCTAGCCAGTCAGCCACCAGGACCAACCTCTCCCCAAGTTTCCTTGCCCAGTTAGGGATTGGGGGCCCAAGGCACCTGGCCAGTCTGTGCCCAAGGCATACCTAGACCCAAAGGCAAGTGGCCAGTGAGGGTGCAGAGCTCCCTCCGTGGTGCCTGCCCTGCCATGGAGCCCCGAGGGCTGCCTCCGGTGCCCGGCCATCGTGCCTGTCCCTGAACGCCAGCACCAGCAGTGGCTGCTCCTGGGGTTCTTGCCCATGTCTGTGGTGGGGGATGCCTCAGCAGAGCAGCCTGGGGTTAGGATACAAACTGGGCAGCAACTGATCTTGTTGAAGGTGTCCCTGTCCGTGGCAGGGGGTTGGAACTGGATGTTCTTAATGTGTTTATCACGTTAAGGTCCTTTCCAACCCGAACCATTCTGTGTCTCTAAGATGACGGGCAGTTAGCAAGTTAAGGTGCTGGCAGGTAAGCTTTATGCAGAGCTGAGCTGCATCATACACCCCAGCTGGGTCTGCAAGCTGAAATGCTGCTGAATTTTCATACAGGTGCTTACTTACAAAATCAAAGCTGCTGATTGTTGGTTTTACCCTGTTGACTGATAAAGCTGCCTTTCAGGAGGCATGCTCACTGCTGGGCACAGGGGGAGGAAGGTGAGCCTTCCCTGGACAAGGTTTTTAGGCTCTCTGTTACACTTACTCCCCACATTATCCAATCACAAGCACTCTGTGGGCTCATTTGACCCATGCAAGATGGTCTCTTTCCGAGCTTGAAATGTTATCTTTGCAGTACAATAAATGACTTATAAACTGCTGTTTATTTTTCCACTGGGGATTCAGGGCTGTACCTAAATCTAACTAAAATGGCTTTATTTTTACTGGAAGCACAGGAAAATCCCCAGCTGACAGAACATACTGTGTCAAAGAGGAGCACCCACCCCTGGCCGAATGGCAAGGTCCTGCACTACACCAGCTGCCACCACCTTGGTCTGATCAGTGTTCCCATACCAAACCCCATCAAGCAGTCTTGGCACAGGGAGCCAAGAGGATCCCCCCTCCCCACATCCCGGAGCCATGCTGCTGCCTCCTCTGCAGCTCCGTCTCAGCGTGGGGAGCAATGCAAGCAGCCCAAGTGCTGTGCAAGGCTGTGTTCCTGTAGCACTCCTGTTCATAAATCTCCTTCTTCCCTAAATATCCCCATGGAAAATAAACACGATGACGAAGAAAACTGAGCCACAGGAATTCTGAAAACCTATATGCCAATAACTCGTGTTCTAGCATGTTACTGATACACTGTATATTCGCAATTAGATCACAGATAACACAGGGGACATTCATAATTCCAGCACACCTCTGCACATGGAAAGCTAAATTTTGCAGGCTTAAAGTCACCACCGTGCGAGTACTCTGCTCTGCTTCCTGAGCATTTCCCTTGGTAAGCCAGGAAGACTGAAATCTCATTCATACTGTGGCTTTATTAAGGATACACTGAGGCTTTACACCAGCCTGACACCCACTCTGAGGTCCCTTTACACTGCCAGAGCAGCATAACGCAGCCAGCACAAGCGTAAATGAAAATCAGGCCCCAGAGGTTTTTCCTCTCTGCAGTGCAGACTTACAGCTCCCATTACACATTTGCATTAAGGGCTGCAACCCTCCATAAAATACACTCACCAACTTAAAACACATTAGAGACCAGCTAGACTCAGCATACAGAGAGGGCTTCTGCCGAGAAGAGTTGTCCTCAAGTATGGCATAATAAAAACATACAGGAATGGAGGACTGCAAGGACTGGTGGAAGGGAGGAGTGTTCAACAAAGGGGTCATGGTAAAAGCCTCTTCCATGTCCTTTCAGGAAGAACATGGTTTATTTATTATCCTTAATAAACAGCAAGATTACCTGAATCATGCATTTCTCTATCTTCTGCAGGGTTTTGCTTCTCTTACTCTGTACCAAGTCTCATCTTTCATAGGAGGGTAAAGTGACTGATGTGACACCAAGTTATAACTGAAGGCTGCATGGGAGTATGTCGCAAACACTAGAGATTCTGGTCTATATTTGATAATATAACCAATACAGAGAATAATGGTGACAAATGTACAAATCTGCTACTCTCTCTCTCTTGGTTATCTATCTATCTATCTAGGTATATATCTTGGTTATATACTGGGGTCTTAACTGAGAAGCCTCAGTTGAAGCATGTCTTCTTGAAGATAGCAGCACTGCTCATCAGCCTCTCCCTCTTCAGATCTAAACACAGACCTGGCACATGCAATGTGGCTGATACAGGAAGATGTGACCGTTTGCCTGACCCTGGGCACAGGGTCTCTGCAGAGCATGGCAGGATGCAGGGTGATGGGTGTATGCTGTGCTGGTACAGCCACAGCACACCCATCCTGACCATGTGGCAGGTAGAAGCAGGCTTGGGGCTGTGCTGAAGACCACCATTAATTTATCTGCTGCCTTTCAGAACTTACTTGAAGTCAGCGGCCGAGCACAGGCTTGCAGCCAAACGGTTTGGATGTGTGTTGAGCTGGAGTCAAGTGTGCCAGCCTGCCCCAAAACACAGACACAGCAAGACAAGCTGTACTTGTGCTGCTGCCTTCCTCTTCTTTTGTTGCTTCGTCTCCCTCAGCTTTTATTCACTGCAGAGCAAGTCAAGACCTGCTGCTCCTCTGGGCAGACAGTGTTTTATAAAGCATGCTGGCATGGCTGTGGACGGTCCGAAACCATTTCTGCTTTGGGTGGGAGTCATGAATCAGTGTGCTGGGCAGCAGCACATCAGTGAAATGGAGAAGTTTGGCCTGCTGCAGGCTGACATAATTTGCTCTATTACAAAAAAATCCCTTCTTTGGACTTTTCCTGGTGGCCGGGGGTAAGTATTGACAAACGTGCAATGGCAACAACCAAACTAATGAATATACTGCAACAGAAACTTCTGACAGTATTTAGAGGAGTTTTGCCTGGCTGTGGTTTGAAGTCAGAACTGGGAGCACTCTGCAGACAAAAGCACACTTTTGTAGCTGTGTGAGGGACCAAGTGCTCACGTCCCCATGCGAACTGGGGCAGTGGTGCACATCCATGAGGCAGGCTCTCACACACAGAGAGCTGTGAGCACTGGGGCAAGCTGGCTCCCTGCCTGAGGCTGAGACCAGTGACAGCATCCGCCTGCTTACCTGGTATCTGTCAGAGTGATGGATGTCATCTGAGGAGTGGGGTGATGCTGTCGGAGAATCTCCTTCTCGCTTGATTGAGGCCGACAACAAAATTGACTGCAAGAGAAAGGAGAAATTTATGCTGTGAGTGTTGCTGAGCTTTCTGCCCATTGCTAAGCTGTTCTCAAAGCCATGGAGAGCATCTGCTGGGCTGTGGGGCTGTGCTGGGATGGACTAATGGGCTGGGTCTGCTCTTCCCAAGGGACCCTGCCCCACGAGGGACTGGGATGCAAAGTGCAGATGCATCAGGCAACAAAGGGATGGTCATTTTGTCCTCAGATCTGGTGACTAGGGGCAGCAGGATCAGTCTCTGCTGGAAATGCTGTGTGAGGACCACACCAGGAATCCACAAGGTAAAGGTGAAGACATGCTGATATGGAGCAGGGCTTATGGGCTCTCATCCACCCCTCTAAGTGCCACTAAATCTCTCAATAGCTTTGTAAACCGCACTAAAGCTCTCAGCACCTTTTCAGCACAACTACCTCTTCCTTCTGTAATGATGCTATTTATTTTAATAAGTAGCAGAGAAAAAAAGGGCCTTTTAGAAGGTTAAAAAGATCAGTGATATTTGAGACCTAAGAAATCACTGATAAACTTCAAGTCAATAGTAGGTAAGTCTAAATTCCACACACAGTGAACTCCAGTGGGAAAATTACTGCAGGAGTTTGACAGTATCTAAAAAACCATACCCTGAGTTGCAAGTGAACTTTATTATTAGGAGAGTTTGAGGGCAAAATGCAATTCAAAATTCTAATTTAAAATATAAATTGTCTAAACTGAGCTAAATATAGTCCAATACATTGTAAAACAAAATGCGCACTGGAAACGCTGCTCTGCAGATGTTTGTTTCTGAGAATCAGCTGGCAAGATATGACAATAAATGACTGCTCGGAGATGTGTATGTTTGCAAAGGGAAGTGTAGATATCATCTGAATTGGACAGGTCAAGTGTGGTGACAACATTATTAAAAAGCATAATACCTTGGAGAAAGGGAAGTATTCCAGAAACATTTGCCTCTGGGCTGAAATGAAACGTGAAAAAATGTGCGTTTTTTGGAAAGATATGAGCAAGTGGGAAAATGACTCAGCATACAAATCCGTTCAGTCAGCAGGATGCGATCCCCTGGGCTCGGACAGCTCTCCCAGTGAGAAAAGCTCAGTCAGTGTGGGCACGGAGGGAGAGCAGGATCGGGATGGAGGCAGGGAAAGAGGATTTGTGATGCTGGGTTCAACCCCATGGGCATGAACTTCTAGTCTTGTCACTAGGGCAAGACCCACATCCCTGTGAGTCTCTGCCATAATGCATGGCTCCATGGCTGGTTCCATGGTTCCATGGGAAGCTGTGAATGCTCCATCCCTGGTGGTGTTCAGGGCCAGGTTGGACAGAGCCTTGGGTGACATGGTTTAGTGTGAGGTGTCTCTGCCCATGGCAGGAGGTTGGAACCATATGATCTTAAGGTCTTTTCCAACCCAAACCATTCTGTGATTCAATTCTATGATTCTATGGTGGAGCAGAGATGTGATATCCTGAAAGGATAGGGGAATTGTCAGTGGGAGCCTGTGGGTACCCAGAAAAGATCAGCCTCCACCTCCCAGGGGAGACACAGGCAGAACAGGGGGCTCTCCAGCCTCATGTGTTGGCTGAACCCAACTAGTGATGGGTTTTGGTGAGTGGCTCATTTATGCCTGGAAAAGCCCTCTGATAACCATGTGAAGCCACCAGGAGAATTTCTTCAGGGTGTAGACCCCAAGATCCTGCCGTTGCTTAGTTTCTTTATTCTCTAAGCAGAGAATGAGGACCATTTTTGAAGAAGCAGGGTTGCATATGTCCTATAAAATGGAGAGGTAGGAGCTCAAAGCCTTTGGGTGGGACTCAGAACAACAGCCCAGATTACAGCAGTGTTAATGCCCTTCCCCTCTAATAAGCCAATGGAGCTGGGAGGGTTAAATCTGTTTTGTCTTGCAACCTATTCTAGAGAAGGGGAAAAAATACCCATCTCCCCATTCCTTGGCGACAGACAGACAAACCCTCCCCCACTCCAGCTCCCCCCTCAGCTTCTGGTAGCTCTAATCCAATATTATTATGTGAAAAATGGTGGGGCTAGCTATGGAGACAGTAAATTAAACGTTATGTATTAGTTTTTAGCATGTGGTCCCGGGAAGAACGCCGGCCCCATTTATTCCACAAACCTCCTGAGCACCATGGCGATGACCTCTGGAAAAACGCAGGGCTAAACTAATCCCAAAGATGTCAATCTCGAGGCCTCTTCTACATACACTTGCAGTTTAGATTAATAAACTGTCTATTTTTAAATTGTGTGCAAGCACTTCAATTCTAAATACCTCGCCGGCATGTTAAACACAGCGTTAGAGATGCCAAGTCACACTTCCCCTTCACTCTTAGGAAACTTGACTTCATTTGTTTCTCTCATTTCCATGTGCTGTGCCACGCTTTGCTGTTCAGGCAGCTGTGGGAGCAGGCAGGGATGCAGGCTCTGGGGATAAGGGATTAGGAAAGGCACTCGCCATTAGGATGACTTTCATTTCTGCAGTAGGCCATACTCTCTAAAAGAAGCCATCAGAATTTTGGCCTCTTTTTATCCCGGATTGTCATGTTGGGGCTGTTTTCCAATGGCTAGATGGCAAGGATGCTTGGCCAGAGCACGCCAGACCAAGGATTTGCTGTCTCATGGACCCACGCAGCGCAATCCCACTAGGGTCCTGGCAAGCGGGGAAGGGGCAGAGATATAATCCCCATTCCTATCTCAAGCAGCATCTGGGAAGATAGCTATGGAAGGAAAAGGCAGCTTCCCATGCTCACACTGCAGGGCAAACCCAAACTCTAGCATCCCATCCCAGAAACACAGCGCTGGGTGCTCTGCATACAGACAAGCGTGCCGTATGGCTGTGTGGAGATGCTCCCTTTGGCATGGTGGGAACAAGCCTTGACACTGAGAATTCCCTTTCCCCCCTGTGGAAAGGCCACCAGCCAGCTCATCCCTAACTGGTTTCCAGTTCAGCCCAGCTCCCTTTCAGGGTGCAAGTGAAATGAGCGAGAGCCCATTCTGGTCCCCCTTACCCTGGTATACCACAGCTCCCAGTATCAAAGACAGCAAGGGCCTTATGCGAGCGGCCATGCAGCCTCATATTTCTCCCTCCCCTTTAAATCATCTCTCCACTGGGTAAAGGCACTCTCTGCGGAGGTTATAAACCCTGAGAGGATCAGCCTGAGCATTACACCTGGGGCAAGCTAAATAAAAAAAGGTCACCGGCGCTTTTTAAACATGGACAAAAAAGCAGTAAAATGTGTTTGGAAAAAAAAATCTGGCATTAAATCATGACTTTTTGCCTGGCTTGCCTCATTAAAAGTGGCCTTTTGGAAGGTAAAATTATCATTGTAAGTGATAAGATCTTTAAGAAAATAATTCACGGCTTCTTCACCCTTTAATATGATAGCCGCCACCGGCTAATTTTTTTCTTAATGGCAACGAGACTATCAATCTTGTCCAAGCCCTGCACTCCCTCCTTCCTCCTGCCCCTCCTGCCATGCCAGGCAGCCATGGCCCTGCTCACTGGTCCTTCCTACCCCTTGGAGCCCAGCTATGTTGTGCCAAGGAGAAGACGCACGTCTGGATGTATGGCTTTACCCACTTGTGTCTATGGATCCCAGCAAGAAGGAGAGGCCATGTAAGCTTTGCTCATGCTGCAAGGTTCACACCTTGGTAGCTCCCAACATCCTCCATGGACCGTGCAATTCTGCACAGCATCTGCAAATGTTTCAGCAGTCTCATTCAAATAAGGAACGACATAAAGTTTACATATATAAATACATGGACAGGTTTGCCATGGACCAAACGTGCTGCTCTGATCCCGGTCCATCGCTCTTCAGACCTGCTCCTCCCTGCTCGGGCAGCTCCAAGGTGATGCTGGCAAGGGCATGGGTGCCAACATGCCACCAGAGCTCAGACCATAGGCACTCAAGATGTGTGTCCGTGGCAGCACAAGGGGAGGGTGCAGGTGTCAGGGTGCATCCAAAGAAATGGATGGAAATTGCTGGCACTCGTTGACCCCAGCACCAAGCACTGCCTCTCGCCGGTGGCCGGGTGAGGTGTCAGTGCTGAGAGAGCCCAGCCTGTGCCTCTGACATTCTGCTGCCTCTCAAGGCCAGTCATCTGAGAGTATTAAAGTGCTGGACTCCTGCTTTCTGATAGCCCTGGAAAAACACAAGGAGTCTATTTTTCTTAAACAATCCATCACAGCTGCTGTCAGCAGAACAAATACCCTAACCCTGCTTTTTATGTATCTGTATAGGCTTTTTTATTATTATTTTTTTCTATTTTGGCACAAAGTGTTCCCTGCTTGATGCATTCAGCTTTAAGGCTGCTGTCTAAATAGGTACTTATCACTTAACATGGAGGTGATGGCTTGACATGTTTTCTGTCTCCTGCCCTCCCCTCCACGGTAGGGAAGCCATCAAAGTGTTGCTAATAGCTGTTATCACTTGGGAACTGTAACCCGAAAGCAATGAGTGATACCAGGCCTTGCTGTGATTTTCCCCCTTAACTCTGCTAGCTGTTTTTTGTGTTATTCCTGGAGGATCCCTGACACAAAGATGCTACTATTAGAGCTGAGTTTCCTAGAAGCTTTCGGAGGGTTCACATTTGCTCCTGGTAAAGTTAGAGGTAAAATTATCTAGTGGCTTTTAGCTGGCAGAGGTAAAGGTGGTATGGAACTGAGGATGAAAGGCTTAAGTGTGAGAAGGGTGTGAGTAGTGAACAGAAATTATGGTAACAGAAGCTTCTGGCCATGGCTAAAAGATTCCAGTGGTCTTCAAGCAGAATAAGCTTACAGAAATGTGAGCTGCTGGTTTATTTCTGTGCATGTTACAGTTACACCTGGGATTGTAATCGAGCTCTGGGTCCTCTTGGGCAAGACACCAGCTACACAGTATGGGAAAGGGCCCCTTCCAGCAGAAGTGCCTATGGGCACACCAGGGATAAAGGGGAAAGAGGTCTGCGGGGGTCTGCCAGCCTGTGCAGCTCTCCTCCGTCACATCCCTCTCTGCTCCTGATGCCAAACACAGTGGTTTCCCACAGCCCAATGGGAGGGCACAGCTGTTTGGCCCAAGGGGAGCAAGAGGCTTTTGTTTGTTCATGGGGTAATTTGTCTTATGGAATAAAACCTGGCAGAGAGTGTTTTTTGGAGTGGCTCTGGTATTCATCACCCCATACTGGCAGGGACTGTGACCAGCCAACACTCATCCTATGTAATTTTACCTCTTTCACATATCTATGGGCTGTTCTTATGTCCCCAGCTTGGCCATAGCTTTGCTACAAAGCGGTGTCAGATATAGCTCTTTAATCTTTCCTTGTAAATCACAGTTACAGAGGGAGGGGGCACAGATACGGTGAGTGACTTCTGCAACCCCCTCCCAGTGAGCCAATGACACAAGAGAAGGAGTTAAAACCCCAGGGCCCTGGCACCCGTCCCCTGTTCCTACCACCAGATGTGATACGGAGAAGTTAAATGATTGTGCTAGAAATTCCATCTCCAGCAAGGCAGCTGGGAAGGGCTTAATACAGACATTCTGTCAAGGTTTAAGGCTCCAAATCTTGCTTGCTTCAAAGCTCTTTTTCCTTGGAGGGCTTTAGTGGTCAAATTTCCCTCTAGATGCTGTAATTCTCTCTCAAACTGCCCAGTGAAGCTGTAAAATCACAGAGGTTGGTGGGGGAATCAAAGGGCTTCTGGCACTGTGGCTTGGTTCCCAACAATGCCGGAGGTCTCGGAGCAGCGTGCTGGCTGCCTGCCTGCAGGCACCCTCTGAGGAGCTGGGTGCGCACCTAAACAAACCAGCCGCAAGTATTTGCTAGGTGCATAAGATGGATTTTGTTGCTGGCTGCTCACATCAGTGTTTGTTTGCAGCAGGAGCCAGCGCCCAGACTGGACTGTTAGTGGGAAAGTGAATTTGCAGTCATGTATTAGGGAGCAGCAGTGGAAAACCAGTGCTGACCCCACCGGCATCGCTGGGATGTGTCATGGAGCCCAGCGTCTTCTGCTTCTGTGGTCAGTACCAGCACTTTCACAGGGGATGTAAGTTCTCCTGTTAGATGATGGGTAACAGGCTGCAGCTAATACCCTGAGATTTAGGGGTTAAGATCTCTCTGTACAGAGATGATACCCACCTAGATGATAGCCTGTGGAGGGAGAGCCACGGGACAGACAGAGAGTGGCAAAGAAGTGCCCTTAGGAGGACCTGGGGATACTGACTCTCCAAGTTACTGCTGGCTGCTCAATGAAGAACAGTAACACTTGGACTAAATGTTACTCATACATCTCACCAACATGGGTTTAACTCAACATGTGCTCCTCTCCTGTACCAGCCCTTGCAAGAGGCAGGAAAGGCAGAGGGAGAGCAGGAAGCCCACGACCAATGCCCAGGGAACTGCACACTGCTGACAGCTATGTTCAGACCCCTGGACAGCCATGAGCCTGGATGGAGCCTGTGATGTTGTCCATACATCCCTGAAAGTCATCCCTGCTGCCCGGTCTGCCTGAGACACAGCCTCTGGCCATGCTGGGCAGTGCTGCAGGGAAGGTGTCACCTTGACGTATGGGGACTCAGTGGGCTACCTGGCACTCAGCAATAAGAAGATTCAGCATCACAAACCTTGGGTGTAGCATCCAAGCATGCAAACAGGGACAGAAACTGCTGTTGAGAGGAGACAGTGGTGTTCCCCTTGCTATCTTCAGGCTATGGGACTTCTTGCAGACACCTTGAGCTATCTCAGGCCTTTTTCCCCCATCAAAGGCTGGTAGAGCCCAGCTTTCCTAAGTGGCAGTCAGGATTAGATAGGAATCTCATCCTGAGACTCACTGTGCAGGTTTGTCATCTGCTTGTCCAAGTGGCTTGTCCACTCTGGCATATCACCATCAATTGGACTTGGTCTCTAACAGAAAGCAAATGAGGATCCAGAACAATGCAGAGCTATGTGGTGCTCAGTGTTCCCTCCAAGCTGCCTTCACAGAGAGAGCCCAGGCACCAAGCAGATGGGTTGGCTGGAGCCCCACAGCTCTCAGCTCTTGGTTGGCTTTCACTGCTTTCGCCAGCTCTGATAATAGAAGAATCTGATACAATAATCCTGCATTCATCACATCCCATGTTGAGTGATTGGATTTTCTTTGACATATTGCCATGAAAATTGACCCAGTGCAGTGAGTGACAGCTCTTCAGAGGCAGGAAAGCTGCGTGCGAGGAGCATGCGTTTACATCTGGGCTTTTATTGCCAGGAGAGACATTCCCAACTATGGGAATGGGATAGGAGCCAAGTCAGGAGGCAGGGCATGGGGGTTTAAATTCCCTGCCCCCAGATGCACCCCGGGAAGAGCCTCAGGCCAGCACAGAAGCAGCAATGGTAGTGATACTGCATGCAAAGGTCTTAAATGGGTCCTAAGGTGGTCTTAATGGTCTTAAAGCCACTGGTGATCACAAAAACAACACAGCCAGCCTGCACCCCATCCCAGTTCCCATGTCCCTGAGTGAAAACCAGCCTGCCTGCGCTGCCAGGGAATGCTCTTGAAGACTGGGGAGGTGCAGCCCCTTTCTCCCACTGCTGGAGGTGCTGGCACTTTCGTTGGCACCAGGAGAAGACTGACCAGGAGACATTGCAGCGGTCCCTGTGGTGCTTGCAACACTTTCCACCAGTGCCCAGGGTGGGAAATGCGACATGGTACAGGTCCCACCTCTTCCCAGGTGGTTCCTGCCAGACTTCCAGTGATGCCCACCCTGGGATCTGTCCCCCATCCCTCTGCCTGGGACCCCTGTTTAATGGTGGCTCAGAGGCCCAGCTTTGTCTCCAGCAGCACTTTCTCAGAGGGAATTCACATCCCTATGGGCTATTCCCACCCCATGCTGCAAGCACTCAGTGGGCAGAAGGGGAAAAAACTTCATCTCCCCATCCTCCTCCTGCTCAATCCCACCTGGTTACAAAGGGGTCTTTAATACGAAGCTCAGGTGAAGGTGACAGCACTGTGCCATCCCATGCCACACAGGACTTGTCTCCCAGCAAAACCCACCTAGAAATAATGAATCCTCCTGGGCTGAGAGGCTTTCAAGCTCTCTGAGAAGGGAATGAAAGATATCTTGATTTCACCTTCTCCCTCCCTGCTCTCCTGGCTTCTTGAAGTTAATGTTCTTAGCCCCAGACGTGACGGGCAAAGGAAAAAGATCCATGTGGTGACAGGGGACGATTGATCTCTTTTACATAGAACGACGCTTCAGTCCCAGTTTAATCCCCTCACTCAAGGCAAATGGGATTCTTTGTCAATGGAAACTTCAAAAGCCCGGCCCTGCCGCGAGATGGACCTTCGTCTTTATCTGGTCTCTGTCAGTCACTGGCTGTGTTTCCCTCCAAACAGCTATCTGTCTTCCTAGCCATCCTTCTCCCTTGCAGGTGATGTGTTTGGGACTGTTGAGTTATCTGCACTCAGACCTGATGAGGAGGGAAAGGGAAACTTGCAGCGTCCAGCTGCTTTCATTTTGTGAGTGCCCTTTCCAGTGTGTTTGAAACATCCCAAAGCAGCCTCAGACTGCTTGAACTGTGTCACCAGAAGGGCAGGAGAGCCTGGACCACTTGCTTTTGCCCTCACTGAGGAGCACAGCGTGGTTCCCAGAGGCTGTGCAATGCCCAGCTGCCCTGCAGTGCTCCCTGCCACCCACTTTCCTGCCCAAGCTCTGGTCCTTCTCATATGAAGTCCAGCTAATGGTAATATTAATTAGTGAATGGTGCCCTCCGCAGTGATGCCATGATGCTCTGTGCATTTTGCATTTTTGCATTCTGAGCCAAGTGGATGGGAAGTGGGTCCTGGGGAGGGGGATGCAGCCGAGATGGGGTCTTTTAGTGATTTGGGCTCCTCCTCAGGTGTGCTTTGCTGCCCTGAGACAGTCCCACTCCCCTCTTCCAAAGCTGGCATATGGCTCTGGCTACAGGAGCTCCTGCACACGATTTCCCAGGCTGAGCTCAACCTCATTAGCTGTCATTCGACACAATCTGGAGTCCCTGAGCCCACTGGGCCCTTCAGCTTTGCTGTCCCCTGGCTTCATGGGGAATGAGAAAGCCGCGTGTGGGTACTTGACTGCTCCAGCCTGGTGGGTGAATGGGACAGAGGCTTCTCCCAGCACTGGCCCCCATAGTGTGGCTACCTTCCTGGGACACACTGAATAGCAATACAGGGAGCAGGGTGGGAAGGTGATGGGGTGTAAAAAGCATCCCTCTGGGGGAAGAAAGCATGCTGAGTTGTTCTCACTTACCTTGGGGGTGCCTGCTGCCATGGCATCCTTCAGGATGGAGCTCTTGCTGCCAAGAGAGAAGAGAATGGGATCAGTCATTGAAATGCTGTGGTGGGCAATGGGGGAGCACTTTGGGGGATCTCACAAGGTCTCTCCTTCCCCAGACCAAGGAAAGCCTCCTCACCCTAACCCCTCCCCACCCATGGAAAGGAGGGCAGCTCTGACTGTTTCTCCAGCTGGGATAAAATGGTCCTACAAGTGGAACCTCCAAAACCCAGACACACAATGCAGAGTCAAATCCTGACTTTCTTCCTCCTTGGGGTATTGCACAACTCCTCTCTCAGCCCTGGGGCAAATGGGGACAAGCCTGCAGGGTCACAGGGAAGGAAGCCAAGGAGAGGGGAGCGGTGGATCAGGCATCATAAAAAAAGGAGGAAAGGAAAGAGAAGGAGGTGGAATCGGCATAGGAGCAAGGGAAGGAAGATCCTCCCAGCTCCAGCCACAGCGTGGGGGCAGCAGCTCTGCCGGAGGATGGAATGATTTGTTAATTCAGCTTGTTCCCCGTTTAGCAGGGAAGGAGGTCCCCGCCACGCTGCTCCTCCTCGCCTGCCCTCGCCAGCGGGAGATGCTATAGATTTAATAACACCTTCCCCCCCTCCAGACAGGTTAAACTTGAAACAATTACATATCAAAGCCGACATGGCAGGGAGGCCTGCACTGTAATTTTTTGGTTATTAAAGTAATCTCTCTCATGTAAATTCTCCTGCTAACATGCTGCAAACAGCATTAGGAAATAAATTATTTCCCCATGATTCGATTTGTCAATGCAAAGCACCTGCAGCAGGCAAAAGGCTCTTGAAATATGTTGCCAAGCCCAGTGCTTGGGCTTGTAAGTGCATGCCGGTGGGGTGGCTGGCTCCCAGCTCCCCATAGCCCCGGGGAGATGATGGATGGGTGGGTGTGTGGAAGGGGGAGGCTGGGGAAGGAAGGGGGGGAATGGAATTGTGTTTAATAACAAAATTTGTATGCAAGCCTGCATCCCAGGCTAAGGATGAGTGATCGGCAGCCAGAAAGTATTAAAAAGCCTCGCTAAACAGATGCTGACAATAGAACAAGACATATCAAATCAGATCTACTTCAGAAACATTAATATACACACGCACACACGCTCACCCGCGCGCGCGCGCCCGGCTCCGCACACCCCATGCTCCTTTCTTCTCAATCACAGCAATATGGGAGACATCAATAAATTTTTATGAGACTTTTAGAAGATCAACACGGTACTAGATGTGACAAAAAAGCAATGTGCCTGTCATGTTCGCTTTGTCGGGGACACTTTAGCCCCAGATGCCGAGCTGCAGTGCCAGCAGGGAGAAATTGAATTTGGCTGGCTTTAATCTGCCTTGATTTGGCAGATGGCTGGGTGTTATGAAATGAGCAGGGATGGAGGAAGGTGTTTTCTCCCAGGGCTACGGCCTCCCTCCTCTCTCAGTGCCACCGCCCTCACCCCCCATCCCAAAATGGGGGGAAACACGCAGTTATCCGTTGCCATCAGGTCACCCCAAATGCTGCAGCTCTGCTCCTGGAGCAAGTGGCTGTGGTTCCTGGGGACCAGGGATCACAGGCTGGGGTATCACCTCCTTCATAGCCCTGCTTCCCTGAGGGAATGTGCTGATGGATGCTTACTGGAGGGTGCAGGATGTCCCCCAGTTCTGCTCCCCTGTTCTCAGGAGGTGGCACAGAGAAAAGTCAGTCCCTGCTGTCCCCTGAGATGCAGCCCTGGCACCAGCTCCAGCCTGCATCCAAATGCGTGTGATGGGAAAGATTTCTATCCCCTCCCCATCTCCAGCACTACCTTGAATCCCTCAGTCACCTAAAGTGTGAAACTTTATTTTCCTTTTATAACCCAAACACCAGGTTAAAAAAACCAACTCATTTCCTCCCTTTTCTCGTTAAAGGTTTTTAAAATTATTCCTTTTCGAGGGAAAGAGGAAGAATCTCATTAATTCCTCCCAGAAATGGTGTTTGTGCCAGGAAACTGCAGTTTCCAGGATGAGAGTTTCTTTGGTCAGCTGAAGGCCAAGCTTCTGCTGTTGGGACAGATAAGGAAGAGGACTGATTTAGATAACTTGACAAAGTTTACTTTATTCTATATTTGAAGGATTATTAAGAACCACCCCCTCCTTGCAATTTAGCCCCACTGTTACTAATAAGAGGTTGCAATTGGTTTTTATCTATTTATAGAGATTGGTCGGGAATAGGCACAAGCCCTGGTCACCCAAGTCCCAAGACCCTGGAGTATAAGGGTCCTTTCCTCCATCCCACTAAGCAACCCCCTGAATTACAGTGGCTGCAGCCCCCTGCATCTCTTAAGGATGCTGGCAGCGGGCTGAGAATCGAAAGGCCGTCAGCAAAGAGAGACCTTCCCCTCCATAAACACCGCAGACAAATTAAAAATGGTAAAAGGGAAATCAAGACCTTTAAAGTTCAAACACTTTTCGGTGCCTTTTAAAGTTTTTTCGCTCTAGGCCCTTGCAGACAGCACAATCTTTGGAGACCTTGGGATTCTCTTTAATCACCCAGCCAGGCTTCAGTGATCTGAAATGATTACACATTTACATAGTAATAACCCCAACACTCCCCACATTATTTCATGGCTAGCATATTTCCACTCGGCGAGTGATCCATGTGTTTTAAATTATAACCTGTACATAGGAAATTAGTTAGTAAGTACGATATTCACGGGCTCGCCTGACACTTCTAATTAAGGTGATTTACACAGAATTATCCTATGAAATAAAAAAATGGTGTTTTGCTAGCTAATAAAATATAATTACTACCCGCTTTTCTAAGTTACAGTTAGTTTTAATCTATTTGGGGAATTGTTTATCTAGTTCATTACAACAAAACAACTTCTTTCCCTTTTAGGCAACCCCCCCAAAGTACCAAAGATGACAAGAAATGCCCTGGAAAGACCCAGCAATTTGGGCAGCCTCCTTCTCTCTCTCCTGACAACTTTGCACTTCCAAGTGATATGAGGCTGCTTCCTCACTGGTTCCCTTTCTTGGGGCTGAGACACAGGTTCTGGTTGTGCATTTGGGCATCCCCACGTGCCATACACCTCTGTGAGGACAAAACAAGGTCTCTGCTCTGGTGCTGCTGGAGCTCTCTGTCCATCCTTGCAGCTGCATCACCCTTAATGGGAGCTGCATGGCCAGGTCCCCACGTGCCATTGGGTGCCAACCAGAGACCCAACACTCCTCTATATTAGGGCATATCAGCTTTAAGAGGATCATTTACTCTTAGCAAGACTCTCTGCAATGAAAGCAAGACTCAGGGTACGTCACAGACATGCAGATGTCTTTTAACCCAAGGCAGAGATTTGGTTAGGAGCATCCCCAGATGCAAATGGAAACCCCTGTGCATCTCCCTGAGTGATCCCCAAGGGGCTGTTCAGACCCAGTCTCTATGTCATGACGTCCCAAAGGGCAAAGGGTAGCTCAGCACACCAAATATGTGTCCTTACCCACAGTCTTAGTGTTTCTCTCCCCCTGCCACGGTTTCTGTTGTACACAATGGCCTTCTAATGTCTTTATGTCTTTTGTTATATCTTTTGGGGTATGCTTGCCATAGGAAAAGAAAAGAAGCAACATGGAAGGAGTGGTCCCTTATCATCCCTTATTCTGTAGGAATCTCAGCTTTCCTCCAAAGGAAAGTTTTCTGGGTGCTCAAGTGAGGAGACAAGATAAGCCCTGCTCCCCCCTATCAACTGCCAGGCAGAGGAGCGTGACCCAAGGTCTGCTCTTGCTCCCAGAACCCACCATGTGCAGGCAGGGCTCTCACTCACCCCTAGCCCAGGCAGAAGGCTGGTGTCAGGCAGCTGCCCCAGGGAAGCAGGGACAGGAGCATTCCTCCTCTGTGCTCATTGCAACACACACAGAGTATCTGCGCCAGGGCATCGCTGCAGCATTCCGGAGCAAGGGTTGGAAAGTTGTGTTGCGGTTGTAACTACAGCCTGAGTGAGAAGACCAAGAGAGATGTGCTCAGAGGGGAAATGTGAGTACAGAGCAGTGATGGGACTTGTCTGGAATCTCAGTGCAACTGTAAGGCCAGAAACAGCTCCAATGCTGCACTTCAGCCTTAGCTTGGGCTCCCCAAGCATGTTAAAACAAGATTTCTGCAAAGCCCCCACTCAAGGCAAGGCAGGGCTTATGATGAGCATCCATCAAGGAAGGGCTGAGCTCAGTACCTGGCATAGCAGCCACCCCCTGGGAACACTCCCTGCACGTCATTAATAACAACTGCAAGAGAAGTTCCTTGAGCTTGGGCTGCTACAGATGTTTGTGCTCATCCCTTACTGACATTGCAGCCAGAAAAGGTGTAAAGAGGTGGTAAGAGGGCTGCTACCATGCAGCTGGTGTCTTCCAGCTCTGCGATTCTTCTACACAACTCTCAGCAGCCCTCTGGATTTGATGGGTACCAGCCAGAGCACATGCAGCGGCTCCCACATGAGATTCTACAAAGCCAAAAGGTTTCTACAAGCTGCTGCCAACTGATGTATTTCTTAAAACAAATAATAACCCAGTGGAAACAATTTGCTTTTAGCTGCAGGACTCGTGGCTTGAATATGCAGCCTTGGGATGGGAGCCCCAGCAGCAAAGCAAGCCTCCGGCAGAGCCATGTGGATGGCAGCGCCAGTTGTAAATAAGCAGTCGCTGGGTAAGGAGGGAATTGGCTTTTGTGAACGCCAGTTTAAATAAGCAGAGATGTCACTTGAAGCCTAAATAAGGAAATAGGAGTTTGATTTTTTTATTTAACTACATGACGCTATATCTTCAGCCAGCTCCAAGTGACAGTGCCCAGCATGGCCGGTTATGATCTGTGCTGCCAGGGGAAGTGTGCTGGGGTTTTTAACCTGCTGTGGCTCCTTTAGCATCGCCTGCATCCTGTGATGGGGAAAGGGGCTGAGCAATGGTAAAGATTGCCAAAGATACTGGAGTCAGGAGTAGAAACACTCTGCACCTACAATGCAGTGCTTCCCAAATGCTCCCCCAGGCAGCATTTGTG